TTGGGCTCTTAGCTGCTCCACCCCTACGTGAGGTGGGGCCACTGTCCTCCTTTTGGTTGCACCGCCGAGGTTGCCTGCCGGGGTAGTCTCCTCCGCGAAGACACTTTCGACGTGTCCCTCGGAGATTTCCGCCATGAAACATTCCCGGGAGGGATGATGGCTCCCCCTGCCGGAGTCATAGCCAAAGTCTGACCTCAGACCTTTCGTGAGGAGGCCGTGGAGGGATTCTGTGACGCTTTCGATCATCCCCACGAACTCGTTGTTCGCGGGGGACGGGATCGCGTGCTGTGCCACTAGGTGGCTAGCGATTGCCGTGGCGTTGTGGAGACCGAATGAAAACGCAGTCGGGGCGCTCCGTGCGGAGTGTTCTGGAGAGAAGGTGAGGCGGCGCGGGTCCTCCCCAAATGGCTGGGGTCCGAGGGAGACGCCGGGCTAGCACTTAAGCCTCCTGTAGCCGGAGCCGATGGAGGGGAGAGACTAGATGGTGAGATGGGCCAGCGCCAACTCTCCTCCCACCATGACGATGAAGTCCAGGTCACCAAAACGCACATGTACGCTCAGGACCCAGCTGATTGCATGGTTAGCCATCCGAGGCCTGATTTGGAACGCGTAAAGGCCCCTACCTGGCGTCAACTATCGGTGTTTCGAACAAGCACCGGCTAGTAAATTTATAATTGTTGCGTGTTAGGCTCAGATGGTACACTAAAGGACACAAGGTTTATACTGGATCGGGTCGAATGTCCCTACGTCCAGTCTGCTGCTGCTCGTGTTATCAGTGCCGAAAAAGGTTCGTAGTAGGGGGTACAAACGGTCGAGAGAGGGAAGGGTCCCAAGTCTCTGATGGAATGGTCGAAAGGATGCCAAGAGCTTGATCGCTGCTTGGCTATATGCATGATGTGTTGTGTGTTGAACTGATCTCCCTTAGGGGGGTGTCCCGCCCCCCCTTTATAGACCAAGGGGGAGCCGAGAGTTTACAGCTAGGAGAAAGAGGAAAACACCTACGGTAGTCATCGCCCTTCGGAGGTGCCAAGCTTTCCTTTTCCCTTGAGCCTGTTCCACTGTCATGGCAGGGATAGCGCGTCCGCTGACCCTGACAGGGCCATGCCCTGGCCTTGGTTCAGCGAGTGGTTACGTCTCGTCCTCCCCCGGCAGACGGTGCGGGGTGTCAGGGCGCCGAGCCGTGACTCTGCGGGGGAGGGGGGTAGACGGGGAAATGACTATATGCCTGTCACTGTAGATGATGTGAGTTCTTCCTTGGATTGTAGCGGTTGTCGTATGCCTGTGTGAGCATCCGCGCCCGAGGGCTGAAGGCGGCGCCTACTACACTGTGGGACAAAAGTCAACGCCTACAACACTATTCAGGCACTGTTATGTCAGAAAGGGCTTAAAGCGCTCGTCCCATCGTATCCTGACGGTACCTTTCTGCAAGCGCACAGGGCATGGTCCTCGATACTACGGTTGCTCGAATGTCCTGTCGTACCCTGTGCTCGTCCTTACGAAGGATCAGGGTGTAGTTGTCGGGTGGGGCGGAGCCTGCCCCCGGATGTCGGGTGAGGCAGAGCTCGCCTTTAGCCATTGGGCGAGGCGGAGTCTAGCCCTCGGTGGTCGAGCGAGACAGAACCCACCCTTAGCCATCGAGCGAGACAGAGTCTAGCCCTTAGCCGTCGGGCGAGGCGGAGTCTAGCCCTCGGTGGTCGGGCGAGGCGGAACCAATCTTCCGTCGTTCGGGCAAGAAGCGCAGTAGTGCTCTTGTCTGACCGGAAGTGTCAACGTTCGATGGTTATTAGTTCCACCTCATTGGGTACACTAGTATTAGGTCCCCGACACTGCCCCTTTTTATAGACCAAGGGGGGAGCAGGGGTTACAGATGGCAGAAAGAGGAAAAACCAAATGTAGAGAAGGGCCTTCGAGGGTGTCGGGTCTTCCTTTTTTCTTGAGCCTGCCCTGCTGACATGGCAGACCACGCCAGAGATAGCATGTTTTGCTGATTCTGATAGGACCGGGCTCTGGCTTTGTTTCAGCGAGTGGTCATGTCCCATCCTCCTCCGGCGGGCGGTGCAGTGTGTCAGGGCACCGAGCCATGACTCTGCGGGGAGTAGACAGAGAAATGACTATACACATGTTACTGTAGATGATGTGAGTTCCTCCTTGGATTGTTGTGGTTGTCGTATGCCCGTGTTAGTATCCGCGCCCGAGGGCTGATGGCGGCGCCTACAACACTATGGGATAAAAGTCGGCGTCTACACCACTGTTCGAGCTCTGTCAAGTTAGAAAGGGCTTAAAGCGTCCGTCCCATCGTATCCAAATGGTACCTTCCTACAGGCATGCAGGGTATGGCCCTTGGTACTGCGGTTGACTTGAATGTCCTGTCGTACCCTGTGCTCATCATCATGAAGGAGCAGGATGCAGCCGTCGGACGAGGCGGAGCTTGCCCTCAGCCGTCAGGCGGGGAGGAGCCAGCCCTTAGACGTTGGACGAGGCAGAGCCTGCCCTCAACCGTCGGGTGAGGCGGAGCCCGCCCTCGTACGTCGGGCGGGGCGGAGCCAGCCCTCAGACATCGGGCGAGACGGAGCCAGCCCTCAGCCGTCGGGCGAGGCAGAGTCTAGCCCTTGGGGGTCAGACGAGGCGGAGGCGGAACCAATCTTCCGTAGTTCGGGCAAGAAGCGTAGTAGCGTTCTTATCTGACCGGAAGCGTCACCGTTCGATGGTTTATTAGTTCCACCTTATCGGGTACCCCGGTATTAGGTCCCCGACAACTAACATATTAGTCTACGTATCCACGTCGTTAAGTACGGCTTTGTCTCCGAAAAAATATTTTAGTCCTACAATTCCAAAGGTGTTTCGGTATTTTATTGATTAAAAATATATTTTTGAACTAGGGCTCATTTAGCTACCTTAGCAAACTAATTATTATGGAGCTACAAAAATTATAATGAACACCTAATAATGTTAGAAATTTACTGTGAAAGATTCAGAGCCAACACTATCATCAATTTATCACAACAATTCCTACAAGTTTATATCTTACAATATTAATCATCTTAAATTAATTAGATAACTCCTGAAAATATTATAAAACTATATGAACAAAATATACTAGCAGATAGATCATGATTTTAGAAACCTAACAAAATTAGTTTCATAATTTTCGGTTAACTACACAATTTTATATTGAATTTACAAGTTTATCTTAAAAACTAAATTAGAAAATGCTTTAGAAAATAAAAAGGGGCGGTGGCAAGCATTCGGCCCAGCAGCCTAGCACGGCGCGGCCGCGCGCGCGTCGCAACGGCCCAATGCGGCCCAAGGCCAGGGAGCCCGCGCGCGACGACGATTTTACCAAGAAGCCCCCGAGCTTCGAGGTAATAGTACGACTATCACGTGCATTGTTCCTATCGTCTGTGGCTTTGCGACCAAGCCCTCGGTTGTTTTCGTCCTCACCACAGGCAGGTCCCTGAAATCCCCGTGCTCGTTGACGCGGCGGCCGACGGCATAAGGCGGTTATACCGGGCAACCTAGGCATGCTACGAAGGAAGTAAGGGGCCGACCACTATCTACAGCTAAACACGCAAGGATGTGTGGCGGTTAGGGGCTCAGAGACGCACTGTCGCGAGCTTGATCACTAGATCTGGATTGCATAGAGATCGTAGAAAATTAGCATATTTGTAGGAGGCTTGTTTTTTTGGTAGAGTTAGAGCAAAAAGCATTTATGCTGTTTAGTTGTCTAATATTTTGCTATAATATTTATAGAAATTTTTATTAGTCTATTCACCTGTCCTCTAGCCATTTAAAATCTTTTATCAGCACCACCACCACTGGGCTTAGGTCGGCCGAGTGGGCGGTGCACGTGACGGGCAGAGCGAGCACCTCCAACACCAGCGCGCACGACGGCAAGGTGCGCGGCAGCAGCGAGGGGAGTGTATCCACGGCCTTGTTTAGATTGCCTCAAAATTCCAAGTTTTTTCACTCTCTCTCCATCACATCAATTTTTGGACGCATGCATGGAGCATTAAATGTAGGTAAAAAAATAACTAATTACACAGTTTGGTTGTAAATCACGAGACGAATCTTTTGAGCCTAGTTAGTCTATAATCGGACAAAGTTTATCAAATACAAACGAAACATGCTATAGTGTCCAGATTGTAAAAATTTAGAGGCCCACGTCTAAAACGGAGCAGCCGCAAGGCAGTGTCCGATGATTTGCTAAGATAAGACGCGTAGCATTACCGGTGTCGCAATTGTAGGCGGATCGATGGCTAGAAAATACAAATCGGCACCTAGCCGCGGCTTTTGACCGTACCAGTTCACCACCACGACACCACCCGCGCACGGCGCAGGACCCGCCCAAACCCAACCCAAAGGCGGTGGCCGCGCCGCGTCGGCTCCAGCGCGATACGACCGATACAACAACGAACTCCGCCTCCCCCCTCCCGGTCCCGTCCCGGCTCCCTCGGCCCCCGGCTTGTGTGCTGCGGCTGCGGGCACTTCGCCTTCGTCTGTTCGTCCCCGAGGGCTGAGACGGGGAAGAAACCCCGTACCCTATCGCGCTCGCCCCGCAGAGGGAGGGGGAGGGGGAGGGGAGGGGACGGGACGGGACGGGAGGGGAGGAACGAACGGACTGGAGGGAGGCATCTGGAATTCTCAGCCCCCATCTCCGCCGCGGCCTCCTTCTCCAGCACGCGAGGCCGCCGGTACTCCGCCGTCTCTTTAACTCTGTTGAATCGCTGGTACTCCGCCGTGGAGTCCCTCCCCCATCTGCCGGCCGACTCGGATTAGATTGGATTGGATTGCTGTTGGTGAGTAATCCACCCACCCATCCGTCGGCCCTCGCTTTGTTGCTGGTGCATATCTTCTGACGAATTCGACTGGATTCCTTGTCTGCTCCCTATTCAGATCCCAAAAGCCTGGGGCCTGGTGCTACAAGGCTGCTACTTCCCTTTGCCCCACTGCTACGCGCGCGCGCGCGGGAGCCTTGTGCCCCGTCGTCTCCGGGAGACGCCATGGACGAAGAGGACGACGACCAGCGCCTGCTGCACAGCCTCGGCGTCACGTCCGCCAACATCGAGGACGTCGAGAAGAAAATCCTCTCGCAGGCAAACCCCAGTGCCTTTTCCCTCCTCCTCGCGCGTTCCATTCCTCTCTCGCATCTCACTACCACAGCTTTGAGTAATCCCCCCACCCACAATCTGCTCAGGTTGCCGTCCCGTATGTGACTTGTGCAGGTCCAAACTGAACCTAAGCGCGACGATGAGCCAGGAGCAGCCGTCGATGACCCCAGCAGGAGCAATGTTGCGCCTGAGTCTGATGCGCAGGCCAAGCTGCACCAGAAGCTGCGCTCGGTGCAACTCGAGATCAACGCCGTAGCTTCCACCATTAAAAGAGCTAAGAACGCAGCTGGTAAGAAGGTCGACAGCTCGGACAGTGCTGATGGACAAGATAAAAAGAAGCAGAAGCAAGCCGATGGCACTGCTCAGGACGAACCTCATGGAGGAGCACTCCAGCAGGCGCTCGCCACCGAGCGCCTTAAAAGCCTCAAGAAAGCTAAAGCTCAGATTCAGAAAGAGATATCGCAGTCGGACCCCAACCCGTCTGGCTCAGACAACCGGAAAGATAAAATGCTGGCCATGCTGGTTGAAGACGAGCCAAGGCGTAAGAAGTTGCTACTGCCGGCTCGAGGACCTAAGAAGATGTCGGCTCCTAGACTGAAAACCATGAGTTATAATGACGATGAAGACTTTGACGCAGTGCTTGATGGGGCTTCTGCAGGATTTATGGAAACAGTGAGCTACTACTCCTTGGGGCTTCTTATTTCTTGTCTCATTTGCTATATTTCAGTGCTTTCTGATGCTATTCTCTATATGGCGTAGGAAAGGGAAGAACTAATCAGGAAGGGCTTACTGACACCATTTCACAAGTTGAAGGGCTTTGAGAAGCGTGTCGAGCTGCCTGGACCTTCTCATAGGCAAAATGATCCCTCCGAACAAGCTGAAGAAACAATTGAAGCTTCCAGGATTGCTAGAGTCGCTCAGTCAATGCAGCAGATTGCACAAAGTCGCCCAACGACCAAATTGCTTGATCCAGAATCTTTACCTAGGCTGGACGCACCTACTGCTCCATTTCAAAGGCTTGGAAGGCCTCTAAAGCGTCCTGTATCTCCTAGTTCAGAAGAACAGGAAAGGAAGAGACAAAGGAATAAGACCAAGAGGCCCTTGCCTGACAAGAAATGGAGGAAAGCCAATTCAAGGAAGGAATCATTATTGGAAACTGACGGTATGTCGAGTTTGGTTTACAGTTTCTAGACTGTAAGCTCTGCTATTATTCTGTTTCTATATGCATATATCAAATGCCGATGTAATCCTTTTTGCTGCGTTTTCTTGTTATAAGTCCCTATGGAAATACTCATCGCTCCACACCTTGGCGGCCTCTTGCTATTATTCACCGAAACACAAAATAACCACCAGGAAGGAAAAAAAAAACTTTGACAATAAACCCTAAATGACTGTCTCCCCATACCCATCCTCGTTGTTCCTATGACCCAACAAAATAGAACACAACTCCTAATGAATTATTTGTGTACTCACAGATGAGGATGTTGGGGACTTCGTGGCATCAGTTTCTGAGGAAGATGATCAAGCAGCAGAAGGTTTTGATGGGTTATCTCCTGTTATCCTTGAAGGTGGTTTGAGAATTCCTGGCACAATTTATGAACAGCTATTTGATTACCAAAAAGTGGGAGTGCAGTGGTTGTGGGAGTTACACTGTCAAAGGGCTGGTGGAATTATTGGAGATGAAATGGGCCTAGGAAAAACTGTGCAAGTCTTATCATTTCTTGGTTCTTTGCATAACAGCAGCATGTACAAGCCCAGCATCGTTATTTGTCCTGTAACACTTCTGCAACAGTGGCAAAGGGAGGCCAGTAGGTGGTATCCAAAGTTCAAGGTGGAGATCTTACATGATTCTGCAAATGGTTCAAGTAAAAAGAGCAAGGCATATAGTGATTCTGACAGCGAAGGTTCTTGGGATAGTGATCAGGAAGAGGTTAGACGTGCAAAGCCTGCAAAGAAGTGGGATGACTTGATTTCACGGGTTGTAAATTCAGGATCAGGTTTGCTTTTAACCACATATGAGCAGCTAAGAATCTTAGGGGAGAAGTTGCTTGATATAGAATGGGGATATGCTGTGTTGGATGAGGGTCATCGTATAAGGAACCCCAATGCTGAGATAACGCTGGTGTGCAAGCAACTGCAGACTGTGCACAGGATAATCATGACAGGTGCACCTATTCAGAATAAACTTTCTGAGCTCTGGTCTCTTTTCGATTTCGTGTTCCCTGGAAAACTAGGTGTGCTGCCTGTATTTGAGACTGAATTTTCTGTGCCAATTACTGTTGGTGGTTATGCTAATGCGACACCATTGCAAGTGTCAACAGCATACAGATGCGCTGTTGTTCTGCGTGATCTTATCATGCCATACCTTCTTAGACGGATGAAAGCTGATGTCAATGCACAGCTCCCCAAGAAAACAGAGCATGTCCTTTTCTGTAGTTTAACTCCAGAGCAGCGTTCAACTTATCGTGCTTTTCTTGCTAGTTCAGAGGTGGAACAAATATTTGATGGCAATAGAAATTCACTGTATGGTATAGATGTCCTAAGGAAGATATGCAATCATCCTGATCTACTTGAGAGAGAACATGCTGCTCAGAATCCTGACTATGGGAATCCTGAAAGAAGTGGAAAGATGAAAGTAGTAGAGCAAGTTCTCAAAGTCTGGAAGGACCAAGGCCACCGAGTTCTTCTGTTCACTCAAACTCAACAAATGCTTGACATTTTAGAGAACTTCTTGACGGCCTGTGGCTACCAATACCGAAGAATGGATGGACTAACACCTGCAAAACAAAGGATGGCACTAATGGATGAGTTCAATAACACAGATGAAATCTTTGTTTTCATTCTGACCACAAAAGTTGGTGGATTGGGTACAAACCTGACTGGTGCAAACAGGATTATTATTTATGATCCGGACTGGAACCCTTCAACAGACATGCAGGTGCAGTTTATTATGAGTATTTTGTGTCTAGCTGATTTGTATTTTTTAATAAGTGTGTACGTATTAGCCTTTAACTTTTTTTGTGTACATGCATTAGTGTGACTATCAATACAATTGTTGTACCGGACCTTAAAAAAGGCTGACATGAAAAACTGGATGCCAGTTGAGTGATGACTTGAGAGATGAATAATTTTGAATCATTATCTGCTTATAAACTTACAAGCATAATCTCCTGTTTATTATGTCCTAACTCCTAAGCTATGTGCACACTTTCACTATTCTTTCATAAAGTGCTCTGCAAGCTTGCATCAATATCTGATCAGAACTTACCTGATTAAACTTTTTGTGATGTAGGCCAGAGAACGTGCATGGCGAATTGGGCAAACTAGAGATGTAACGGTTTACAGACTGATCACACGTGGGACGATAGAGGAGAAAGTCTATCACCGACAGATATACAAGCATTTCCTTACTAACAAAGTACTGAAAAACCCTCAGCAGAAGAGATTCTTTAAAGCCAGAGACATGAAGGATTTATTCATATTACAAGACGACGAAGGGAACGGTTCAACTGAAACATCAAATATTTTCAGCCAGTTGTCTGAAGATGTGAATATTGGGGTTCCAAATGATGGTCAACAAGATCAGGCTCATATTGCTTCGGCTTTGCCAAGCACCAGTGAAGCTGAACCATCTAATGGAGGGGAAGGGAGAGTGGACGTTAACTCTGACCAAGCAGATGAAGAATCGAACATTTTGAAGAGTCTTTTTGATGCTCAAGGCATTCATGTAAGCAGTATCTTCTCATCCCTAACAAAACTTCTTTGTGCAATGCTTCAATTTTCTGAGTTAACATCCTGTTTTCTGAACTCTGTCAGAGTGCTATCAATCATGATGCCATAATGAACGCTAATGATGACCAGAAAGTGCACTTAGAAGCAGAAGCTTCACAGGTGGCACAAAGGGCAGCTGAAGCTTTACGTCAATCACGGATGCTCAGAAGCTGTGACAGTTTTGCTGTTCCCACATGGACCGGAAGATCTGGTGCTGCTGGGGCACCCTCCTCTGTTCGCAGGAAGTTTGGGTCCACAGTTAACAGCCAGTTGACCCGTTCCTCACAGCCATCAGAAACTTCCAGCAGCAGGAGTCAAAGTCTTCCAGTGGGTGCTCTGAATGGCAAGGCACTGTCATCTGCTGAACTTCTGGCTAAGATTCGTGGAACCCGAGAGGGAGCTGCTTCAGATGCCTTGGAGCATCAGCTCAACGCAGGATCAGCTTCCAATCATGTATCAAGTCCATCTGGGAACGGCGGCTGCATATCTAACTCTTCTAACAGAAGCATGATCGTGCAACCAGAAGTCCTGATCCGCCAGTTGTGCACCTTCATACAGCATAGTGGTGGGTTTGCCAGCTCCACGAGCATAACGGAGCACTTCAAAAGCCGCATTCAGTCCAAGGATATGCTTCTCTTCAAGAACCTGCTGAAGGAGATAGCAACTTTGCAAAGAGGCGCGGGCGGTTCTATGTGGGTGCTGAAACCTGATTACACGTGATTTTTAACTGTAGTTCACAGGAGCGAAATTTTGGTCTAGGAGTTGTTTTCGATAGGGATTTTGGTTTTCGGAAATTTGATAGGGTGATCTTTTTTGGTGGCTTACTGAGTGATTCTTTTTGTAAGGAAGGACTTGACATGAAGAAATCTTAGGAGATGTGTTGTGAATACAAGAATAGCAAGTCTTGGGATATCCCAACATGCTATGCTCTTCTTCCAGTCTAAAAAGTCTTGGAGAAAGGCTAGCAGATTTTACAGGCCACAAGGGTTTAGTTGGCCAGTAATTGTTTTACAGGCCACAAGATTTTACAGCCTGGTGCTGAAGTTTTTCAACAGCTTCTTACCTCTGGATTAGTTGGCCAGTAATTGTTTCCATCAGAAATATTGTGCTTGTTTAGCGGAATGTGGTATTTTGCTATGTATAGGATCGGTTAGACTTGTTGAATCCAGGGCCAGGGACCAGCCAAATTTGTGCAGTACCGTCCAGCAGAATAGACAGCAATCTGGCTGGTCCCTGCAGCCAAGCAATAGCCAAACCGGCTACCTGGAGAGCCAAATCTGGATGGTCCCTGTAGCAAAGCAATAGCCAACCCGGCTACCTGGAGAGCTAAGTTTGTCTGCTCGGAGGGTTTCACCGATCCAACATTCCATGAGCACAGCTAGGGCCAATGGTCATTTAAAGTTGCTTTGCTTCAAAACATCATTCTTTTTCTACCACTTTCATAATCAAAAGTTACTACATTAAGCTCCTAGAATCACGTATATTTTTCTGCTAATAGGATGAATAACAGAGAACCCATTCTAATTGAATTCAATTCAAAACATCTTACAAATTCTAAATTAAAATTCCTCAAAGTGGACTGTTTTTGTAAGTTATTTGAACTTTTAGGGTATCGGTTTAATTCTAAAAATCAATAGAAATTTGGTTCTATGTTAAAACTAATAAGAAATTTTGATTTAAAATAGGTTCTATGTTATTTATCCTATCATGTTAAAACTAGGGACGACTTTAGAAGCTTGATATAGTGAGATTTCGAATAATTTTATGAAAGAGGAAAAGGGGCGAAGTTTTGAAGCAAAATGACGTAAGCAGACACTGGCCCTAGCTGTCGTCACTCGTCAGCCCTCAGGGAACGGAGGATGGCGAGGCACGCGGGGCGGCCAACCGCACTCGCGCGATGGCACATCAACAGGGGCGTCGACGCCGTTGGCTATTCTGCCTGATTTCTTGTGCAATTGTGCTGGAGATGGTCCAAGGATGGCGATGCTTCATGGATGGTAACCTTACAGTTCAATACAAAAGGCTTAATGAGGCTCTGTATATTATGCAACGCTAATCAGTGGCCTAAATTTAGGGGGCTGAACAACACATTCCTGAATCCGCCGCTGTGGCTGATGGTAACGATGCCGCCTGTCCACACAGGCTTCAAGGATGAGATTCATTGCTGGAGCTTGGCCTAAATGATTTAACTTTTTTTTTTCTTTCTCTTCTGAGGGAAAACACTGAGTAGTAATCTTCAGCTGGGTTTGAGCTTGTAAGGCTGTTGTGTTTGCCCGCGATGCAAGGTTCCACAGGGAATGGCTTCGGCCGCGTCCAGGTGATCTCCCGCCGAGTCGTCCGCGGCTCCGCGCCGAGCCGCCGCCGCCGCCACCGTTTACGCTGGAGGAAATCCACCTGACGCCGTGGGATCGTCTCGCCATGCTCACCCTCAACTACATCCAGGACGGCGTCCTTTTACCCAAGCCCGAGTGCGTGCACAGCCACCGGCCGGCCGTCGTCGTCGACGACCGCCTCGCGTCGGCGTTCGCCCGCGCCCTGGGCCGCTTCTACCCGTTCGCCGGCCGCCTGGTCCTCCTCAGTGAGCGCGGCGCCGCCGACGGCGGCTCCACCTCCACCGCCACCGTGTCGCGCTGTGGTGCACTGGCGAGGGCGCCGAGTTTGTCCACGCGGCGGCACCCGGCGTCACGGCCGCCGACGTCACGGCCCGGGCGCCGCTGTGCATTCCGCGCGAGCTGGTGTCGTCGCTGTTCCCGCTCAACGGGCTGCTCTGCGTCGACGCCGCCTCGTCGGAGCCGGACGCGGACGGCGGCTCCCGGCAGGCGGCGCCACTGCTGGCTGCGCAGGTTACCGAGCTCGCGGACGCCCTGTTCGTCGCCGCAGCATGGTGAAGAGCAAAGAAAGATCGAGAAGAATATGAAACAAGCTCGATGTTGTTGAGACGGAAACATTGACTATTTGGATGAAGAACAATATGATGACCATGATGTTCCGCAAGACTCCATTTTTACGATGTCATTCCAAATTGTGATTCCAAATTATAAGATGTTTTGGTATTTTTACATCCATAATTTTTAGGGTATCTAGATATAATACGTAGCAAAAACTATAAATCTATAAATGTTAAAATATCTTATAATTTAGGACGGAACGAGTACTTTTTTAGCTCCTATTCAAACTATATTTGGCCATCTGGCACGGCACTATGGGCCGGCCCAGGTACGACACAAAGAAGCACGGCTCAGGCACGGTCCGACCCGGCTCCCACCGTGTCCGTGCCTGGCACGGCCCGGTGGCAGTGCTGTGCCTGGGCCGCAGGTTCAGCCCGTAGTGCCGGCACGGGCACGACACGAATTTTGAGCCGGCACGATGTGGCCCGATAGTTTATAGCCATTGAATGATTTCAGAGATTTCCAGCCGTTGGATTGGAGTACATAATCACCTCCCCAAACCCTAACTCCTAATTTCCCTGTACTCCCCAATCCCCACGACCTCCTCCCCAATTTCCTCTCGTCCTCCTCCTTCTCGCAGCCTCCTCCCCATGTCCGATTCCTCTGTCCTCTACCCAAACTCTCCACCACTGCTGCCCACGGTGCCTCCTCCTCCTATCCCACGGCGTCACGATGACCTCGGCGCGGGGGAGCTGGAGAGCGGCGCGGCGACCACGGCGTGGCAACGTGACGACAGTGCTCGGTTGGGGGCGCGTCCCCGCTGCGGCGGCGCTCGGCCAAGGGTGCGTCCACGCCGGATCTGCATCTATGGCGAGTCTAGGCGCGGGATCTGCAACGGCTGCACGGAGTCGATGCGACGACGGCGGCGTCCGGACGCGGCGTCGAGCCAGGGCCGGCACGGGCACCGTGGGCCGTCGTGCCCCGCAGCATGGCACGGCACGACTCCGGAGACCATAGTGCCGTGCCTGGGCCACGACGACGGCACGGCGGCACTAACAGGCACGGCACGGCTAGCTAGCGTGTCACATAGTGCCGTGCCTAAGCGTGCCGTGCCTGGCCGTGCCCGTGCCTGTGCCGGGCCGTGCGGCCCGGTTGGCCATGTATAATTCAAAGAGCTCTATGTACTCTCTTCTGCCAATGTTATGAAGGTATTGATCGTACTCCTAAGCTTAGCGTGGTGTTATAGGTTGGAGAATAGGAGGATTACGGAGATGACGGA